TATATAGGATATTTAGGATAAATAGGATATATAAATAGGATAAATATAGATTTATTTTCAGAAGAGTATAGATTTATTTTCATGGAAGAAAAAAAATGCATGCAATCCAGCATGCATTCCAGCATGCACCCCAGCAGTTGAGTAGTAGAGACTTTAACAAGGAGGTGGCATTTGAGCTGAGCCATTCAAATAGCATTTAGACAGATGGCTGATGAACAATAGTGCATTCCAGGAAGGGAGTGGTATGCACATCTGGAGAAGGCAGGCGCAGGAACATTCAGAACCTGGTAAACAAGCCAGCCTGACTTTCGAGAGGGGCCCTATAATGGAACAATGAGGTTAAGAAGTAGAAAGGGAGTGATGAGATCAGGCTGGGGAAGGCCTTACATATCACCTCATTTGTCTGAACTATATTCAAGGCCATAAACAGTCATTGAAGATTTTTGACCAGTTGAATGATGAGATGAATGTGACATATTGATTTTATTTTTCTCTGAATATAGGTTTTATTTTTTTTTATTTATTTATTTTTTGTCTTTTTGAGACAAGGTCTCCCTGTATCCCCAACTGGCCTGGAACTTACTATGTAGACAAGGCTGGCCTCGAACTCACAGAGATCTGCCTGCCTTTGCCTCCCAAGTGCTAGGATTAAAAGCATGTGCCACCATGCCCAGTTTCTGAGTACAGGTTCTTTATTGTAACTCTGCAGATAAATGCTTGTCTGTACATCCCATTATAGCTTTAAGTTATCTTCTAACGACATGTATGGGTCTATTAGTTTTGGAGGATTTCTGGCTTGGAAAACAGTGGAATCTGGTATTAAAAGCTGCATATTGACATTTGTGTTGTCAAATAGCTTCCCTTGGCAAATTTCAAGTTCCGAGAATGCTTCCTGTTACTCCTGAGTGCTTCAAAATATAGATGGAGTTGGCTTTTGGTGAAGCAAGAATAACACACAGGTATTTTCACTTGAAGCAAATCTGACAATTTGAAATGCAGTGGGTAGAAATTTGCTTTCTACTGTTAAATGACCCATTAGTTAGTCAGCCCAGGCCTATGTTAAGCATTAGTAAATATGATCCTGTCCTGTAAGGCCCTAAAATTCCCAACTTTTTTTTATTTACAAAAATTGAAAATGTTTTATAGCACAGAAGAAATGCACACTTCACATGTATTTCTAAAGATGGTTGGATTTTGTGAGTCACTGTTTTCTTGTTGGCTCAGAGAGTAGAGCTGACTGACATGGGAGATCCCACAGATGACCTCCTAGAACTCCTGCTGGCTAAGTAGAGTTGACTGACATGGGAGATCCCACAGATGACCTCCTAGAACTCCTGCTGGCTATGTAAAGACCAATTAATAGAGAGTTAGAAAATCTAAGGATCATATCCAGCTCTGGTATTAACCGCCCATGAAAACTTGGGGCAAATGTTTTACCACTTTTGGACTCAATGTCCATATTTATAAAATAAGGAACTTTAGCAAGACACTCGTTAAAGTTCTTTCACATTTGAGAAACATATTCTGTGCATCTGACCCATGGATGTCCCACTAACTCAGCATGCCCATGATGTGACCCCAACATTCAATGATATACAGGCTTACTTTTAGGCATGGTGGTAAGAGCTCC